AAAAATTATTACAGTGTCTAGGGAGGCATGATTCCATAGTCACTCAGGAAACATTTCAGCAACTCCTCATAACATTGTTTTCTTCCAACGCTTAGAAACTATATCTCCACAAGGGCTTGATTTTATAAATAAAGTGAAACTTCACCTTGGAGTAATAGTTATATAGTTTATATTTTATGCCATTTAAAAATTATAGATAGTAAGACTATATACTTGATTGCACTAAGAAAATATGTTATCTTAGTTACTCCCTCCCAAGTTCTTATCTAAAAAAAGTAAATACTTAGTTTCCAGAAAATTAATGATGATAGGAACCTGCAGCTTCTGATAATTAGGGATGGGATTGATTAGGCTGTGATATCTGACTAGATATGGTTGGATCTAATGACCAAGTGTAACATTTTGGTTTTTAATTTATCTTCTCAAGGGTGTATCTTAAGAACTATTTACATCAGTGGTTCTTAACTTTCCTAATGCCACGACCCTTTAATAGAGTTCCTCATGTTTTGGTGACCCCCAACCACAAAATTATTTTTGTTGCTACTTCATAACTGTAATTTTGCCACTGTTATGAATCGTAATGTACACATTTGATATGCAGGATGGTCTTAGGTGACCCCTGTGAAAGGGTTGTTTGACCCCCACAGGTTGAGAACCGCTGATTTACATGTTACACAGTCTGGCTACAAAGAATAAAAGATCCCTAGTATAGCTTGTTACAGATCATTATAACAATAAACTATATTTGTTGGTATTACTTTTCTTCAGAATATCCTACTTCTAAAAGTCATTGCTAAAATACAATTTTCATCACATTAATACTCATCCCAAATACACTCAAACACACTTACATACCCATATACACACATAAATGTAAATGTCTTCAGAGAAATATTAAAAGATTCATCTTAGATATCTAATTTCCACCTGCATCTGCCACAACTTTCCAAACTAGTTCACCCACTTTTCTCTGCCCCTGAGCTTTGTCCTTAAACTCCTTTCTCACCTGAAGTATCTCCACAATTTAAATTTCACTTGGACTTGGGTACCAGCTTAAATCTAACTATCCTCATGAGCTACCTGCGACCACACTAATGTCTCTTCTCTTGCCTTACACAACGCTCATCATTTTTATCATACTGCTAAGCAATTGCTATTCACCTAAGTCATGTAAATGTAAATCATGTAAAAATATTCCTCTTGTATGCCTTACCTCAAGGAGACTGTAAGCTCCCTCCAGCCATGGCTGTGTTTTAAACATGTTCTTTCCCTCAATGTCATCTATTAAGTTTGATCACTTCTTTTTTTTTTGAGACAGAGTCTCAAGCTGTCCCTCTGGGTAAAGTGCTGTGGCATCACAGCTCACAGCAACCTCCAACTCCTGGGCTCAAGCGAGTCTCC